ATAAGTAACCATATATATTTTTATCTTTTTATGATGTGGGAGAAAAGAACCTACCAATAGTTGACTATTAAAAACCTATGAAATCTGGAGTCCTACAACTCACTTAACCTCACTGTTATCCTTTGCTTTATACTCTTTTTGATTTTTATATATATGAGTCTATCATTTACAAATTCAAAAAAATTAGGTAATACCTTGTTTTTGTCGTAACTAATAGCACAAAATATATGTCCTCTGTATACTGATTCAAGTTTTAAATTGGTTATTTAGAAAACTGTTCATTTCTAACAATCATAGTTTCTAATAATCTACAAAAACCTCAATAAAATATATGAATATATTCTATGGCAATACTGCCACAAGAAAAATGATAAAGATCTCTTTTCTCCTCTACAAATTAAAGCAAAATAAGCAAAATAAATTGGTTATACAATTTTAAAGCAAGATTTCTATCTTTTAAAGAAATTGTTAGACATACCTGCTTTATGATAGGGATAATAATCTATAGTTAGCTGTGTAAAAGAGAGCTGCATAGCCCCTCCAGTAATACGTCTGTTTGACTCTGGGAAAAGAACAACAGAATTAAGAAAAGGAAATATTAAGCAAATTATCAGAAATATTACATTTATCATGAATAATTTTTACCATACTTGGAGTCCAAGTAGTGATAATTGCCTCTCTTTTATCACAGAAAATAAGATTTTAGGAAATGAAATTCAATCCAGTAAGTATTTACTGAGCCCCTATCATTTGCAAGGTACTAGGAGAAAAAAATTAGGATACAAGAATAGCAGAATCCCTGCCCTTTTATTGCTTACAGATAACAGCAGACCTTTTATATTTACAATCCCTAACAACGTGTCAGGCATTGTTTTCAATATTTTAGGGATACTTATTTATTTGATTATCATAATAATCCATGAGATAGGAATTATTATTGTTTTCCCCATTTTCTAGATAATGAAATGAGGCACAACGAGGTTAAATAAATAGGCCAAGGTCATACAGCTAGTCAAGTGCAAAGCTCAAGTTTGAACCAAGGAAATGTTAACTACTACACTACATCCTGCCTCTTCTTGAAGAGGAAATTAAAAGTCTGTTTGGTTAGCTAAGTTGCCCAAAGTTATACAGCTATAGATCGATCAAAAGTAGATCACAAGTT